TAGGTTTAGGTTTAGGTTTAGGTTTAGGGTTAGGGTTAGGGTTAGGGTTAGGGTTAGGGTTAGGGTTAGGTTCAGGGTTAGGTTTAGAGTTAGAGTTAGGTTTAGGGTTAGGTTTTGGGTTAGGTTTAGAGCGCGCTTCTGTCGGCATGCTGTTGTTGGCGCACTTCTGCGCTCATTCGTCGGCGCAATTTTGAACTTGTGGTTTTCTCCCCCGCGGTTTCGGCGGCACACTTTTGTCGAGCGCGCATTTGTCGGTGAACCCATCAGACAATCAGAAAAAGGGTGTCCCAGTTTTATATGCAATACGAAACTACCTCAGATCCATTATTTAGGTGTCAGACCTGGAGGCCATCTGTTACATTGGGAAAGTTTAGATTCAACTCCTTTGCTCCTACAGATATGAACATCTTACTGCAAACTGGCATTAATTGGAATTAGGTTATAGCTGACACGAAAAATCACTGTCAGTTCCAGCCATAGACAAAAATGATAAAGCCTGGCTTAAACAGATAGCCTTTAAGAAATTAGCATATGTTCTTCTTTCTTTCTATGACCTATAACTGAGTTGACCTTATGTCACAGTGGATTAAGAGAGCCAGAGGGGCTTTGCCTGCCATTAGTTCAACAACTACTTTGCTTCTAAACAAAGGCAAAGCAGAAGTGGAGATCAGAAAAACCAACTGATTTGAAATGGACCAACTTGGCATGGCGAACTCTCCATGGCCAATTCACCATAGGACAACTTGCTGCAGGAAAAAATATATATCAAAAAATCAATTTAAGTATTTAAAATAATTTTAAAAATCATTCTAATTTTTGTCATTCACATTTCATTTTGTCTCTCCTTTTACATCCTTTGCTTAATGATTCTATTCCATCATTTCTTTCATATTAATGTAACTCTTCTGCAGCCAGTTGTCCCACAGCAAGTTGGCTATGGCAATTTGGCCATGGGGAGCTGGCTGTGCCTAGTTATCCTAAATCCCCTGTGTCCTGAGGCCATAGGCCTCAGACCTGTGCTTCAGCACTATAGGCCTTGAGCATAATCAAGAATGAAACTTCCCATCTGGTTTTGCATATTTAATAACATTTGTTTTTAAGCTGTTTTGAAGATTAGAGCTTATATATCTTTTGCTACTTGCTGGACTGCAAACAACTGTGATTTATGATAAAAAGTATAACTAGACAAAACATCTTATCCTTGAAAAGGGTATATCATAAGCCATAATATTTGAAAGGTCATTATGAATTTCAATTTGACATTCAAATTGTGGTCAAAATGCTGAGGGAGGATTTTTTCCTCTAAATGTTTTCTGCTGCTTTATCCTTGAGTTAAAAGCATTGGTCTCTCAACAATATATAACATATATATATATATGTTTTACATGGTTATTGTGACTGTTTACCAAGTAAAAACAAGCTCTGTATAGAATAATCACATTATAAGTGGATTCTAGAAGCTTGAATTGATCTTCACAATCATCAAAACATCTTCCCAGAACAGACATGCAGAAGCCTGCAGATTGTGAGATCAATGAGTCTTTCAGTATATACGTTTGAATCCTCAAATAACCTTTGAAAGAGAAATATTTAAGCATTTGCTCATTTTATTATAGGGAGTACCAGGAAAGGAAAGCAATATTTAACCATTTACCTACTCACTGAAGCAAGAGGGGAATAGCACTGAACGAACTTTTGTGTTCCAACCTAGAAAACAAACAAATGGCTCATCAATAAATCAACTCCAAGTTGATTTCTCAAGGTACAAATGACCAGGCTGAGATTATACTGCTTTGGATACATTAGGCAAAGACCCGGCTCTCTGGAGAAAGCTCTAATGCTGGGAAAGATAAAAGGAAAACGAAGAAAAGGTGACAAGCAGCAAGGTAAGATATTCATTTAGAATAGTGATGAGTGCACCGTTGGAGAATCTGAAGAATCTGATTAAGGGCAGATCACTATGAAGAAAATCTATCTATGTGGTCGCAGTCAACATGGCTTGTTGGCATGTAATCAATCAATACTGAAATATGTCAGGCAGGAGTCACACCACACCAACTGAGCTTGCCTTGTCATTGTCAATACCATTTTTCTCATTACACATAAGATTAGATAAGATGAACTGATATAACTTTATTATCTTTTTTTTTCCTGTGAGCACACTGGCCCACATTAAAAATGAAATTCTGTTGCCTGCTCTCAAGAGAAAGTGTATATCTACCCAAATACATACATANCTGGTAGCAACTACCCTGGCTTTAATTATTTAAAAAAAATTATTTAAAATTCTTTCCTTTCCCTGAGGAGACTGGTGAGGCCTCGCCTCCGTTGCCTCTAGTGTCTGCACGTCCCTGATCTCAAATATGCAATGACTACCTCCCCTAAAGTGTAGAAAGCTATTTTCTTCCCCAGCATTAACTGAATATTGCATATCATATCCAGTCCTTGTCAAAAGTATAAATTCAATGCCATGGACTCTTCAGCAACTCAAGGATAGTATGTATGGAGAGAGTGTCAGTTAGTTACTCAATATCCTCTATTGATAACTCTGCTGCTCTTTGTTTAAGAGACTGTTCATCTGAATGCATTTTCTTCTGTCTTTCCCCCCAGCCTATTCCTAAAATGTATTCCCTACAAATAGAGCTCCTTTCAGTCAAAATTACAAGATTTGTCATTTGATATAGATCAGGAGTGTCAAACTCACGGTCCAAGAGCTGGATGGGTCACGCGCTGGCCATGCCCACCCATTTTAGTGAAGGGGGGGAATGCCACATGACAACGCAAGTTTGACACCCCTGATTATAGACTGCATTCCTCCATGAGAGAGATCTTTGAAGATATACATGCAACAGACACCCAGATTTGAAGGACTAGGACAGAAAGATCTAGCATGAGCATCTAGGGCCAGAAGTAAGCAGCTGGAGCCTGGATGAGAAGCTCAACCAGATGTTTGCCAAACATGCCTTCATGCAAAATGAAGCTTATATCCTTATCTTTACTTCCGGTGCAGGTATGACAGGCAGACATATTCACCTCTGTAAATAATTTAGTAATCTATTATCAAGATAAGGATAGCTCAGAGATTGTAAGGAACCTCATCAGGGAAACAAACGGGAGTATCTCCTACCATGGCATCTAGATAGAAAGAGAGGATGGAAGTTAAAATATAGAGTTGAAATATCTTCTTAAGTGAGCCATGGTGGCACAGTGGTTAGAATACAGTACTCCAGGCTAATTCTGCTGACTGCTGGCTGGCAGCGGTTTGGCAGTTCGAGTCTCACCAGCTCAAGGTTGACTCAGCCTTCCATCTTTCCAAGGTCAGTAAAATGCGGACCCAGATTGTTGGGGGCAATATGGTGACGCCATTTAGAGAAGGCTATAAAGCACTATGAAGCGGTATATAAGTCTAAGTGTGATTGCTATTGTTATTACACCTCTAGAACTAGCTAAAACTAAAAAAAGCCAGTAGGCCTATGGAAATTGACTTCCTGAAACAGATTGCAAAGGCTATAAATAAAAGATTGCAATTGGTAAGGTCCTGTACAGGTACTAGTCCTCAGGTTATGACCCCTTGTTCAGCAACTGTTCAAAGTATGATGGTGGTGAAGAAGGACTTACAATGGGTCCGCAAAATTCCATCCATAGCATCCTGTAGCCACATGATGGCTATCTGGGCAGTTCTCAATGTACCCTGCTAGCTTCCCACAAGTAAAGTCAATGGGGAAGCCAGCAGGAAATTGGAAGTCATAATCACATAGGGTTCTCGTCACAACAACCTGCATAGTCCTCATTTAATTACAACAACCGACGCTACTGGAATTTCCATTGCTAAGAGACATGACATCATGATTGCATTACTTAGCAACTGAGTTCCCAATTGCAATTGCCATCGTAATACAAGGACTACCTGTACATATAAACAGTGAAACCAAATGGACATTGCTGTAGCAATTGAGATGTTGTGTGTAAATGGGAGTATATTAAAGAAAAGAGATTACCTCTAAGTCAAGAGGGTGGGCAATTGCCTAAAAGGCTCTGCAAATTTAGATTCAGGCTTACAACCAATAGCAAGACCAAACTGATATGCTATAATGATGCATATTGAATAGAAAAAGATGTAGATTTTTAAGTCTACAAGCAGACAGCTCTCCCTATATAAGGGTGGAATGATCAGTTGGGCAAGCAAACAGGAATATTTCCTCCAATCTTCCACCAAGGTAAATAGATATCTGCAGCACAAGCACGCCAGGAGATTATGTGATTATGCCAGTAGGGGCGGTTTTTTGCGCTTTGGAGGCCTTAGGGACACTTCTGGAGGGCGAAAAACGGTCTCAAAAGAATGCCAAAGTCAGTTGGCCAGCGCGCGCATGCCCGCTGGCCAACTGACAGAGCAACGCCTCTCATGCCCTGACAAATCGCTCCATGTGCCACCTGTGGCACGCATGCCATAGGTTCGCCATCACGGGCCTAGAGCCTCCAGGGAATGAGGGCCATTTTTGAGGTTGTGTGGACATGTTGAAGGAATAGACCATAATCTGCCATGCTGGTCCAATGCGGGTTGGCAGATGTGATTGGTGTTAGTCTGGGGTATCCACTATGGCCTGTTCATCTTGGGTGACCCTTTTGGACATATACATATTTGACGACATACCCCACAATTTTATTTACTCACACAAGCCCCTTCACTTCATCATGGTCCCGATCATAGAAGGGGCTCCAATTACAGAAGGGGAAGTCTTGCCTAATTAAATACACTCTATTGCCAAAAGTATTCACTCACCCATCCACATAATTAGACTCAGTTGTGAGCAAATACTTTTGGCAATATAGTGTATTTCCTATGATTCAATCTCATTTATGTTATAGTTATAATACCTGGTTCACTAATCATTGGTCAGGTCAGATTCCACTCTTAGGAAGACTCACATCTATACAGAGAATGGTACAGTCTTCCAACAATTTAATATATTTGGAAATGTAGAAGTCCTCTTATAAGAATTTATCAGATTCTTCTTTTAAACAGAATATTCTTCTTCCTCCATTTAACAAACTTAAATGAATTTTCTTGAAAAGAATGGCTACAAATGGTTACAGTAGGTCTTCTTTAGCTATAGACACTCCAGTGACTTGGTTTTTTATTCAATGTCTTTCTATGGCTGTATTTGTTTCTCTGCCATTTTTATCATACAAAACTATAAAAAATGTGGAATTTTTAATAGGCCCTTTATTTTTTTTACTGTACCGACTGGATAATACACACATACCATCAATTTCTGTTAAACCGAAAGGATGGGTTTTCCATCCATCTTGACTTTTAGCTGGCATCACATCCACATGTCCATAAAAACATACAGTTGGTTTCTGTGTATCATCTCCCAACTTTGCCAGAATGACTGGAGGTAATGGAATATTCTGAGCATCAGACAGCTGTAGGAATATATTGAAACACAGTTAATGATAATTCAGTGAGTTTCTTAAAGTAATAAGCAACAATTCCGTTCCTGGTGATATAAACTTGAAAGATTTTTTCTTAGATTTTGGTTTAGTTCCAGCTCAAGATTTTTTACATACAGATTTTTATATTTACCTATCCACCTACCTATCTCTCATCTAGCTAGCTAGCTATGTAACATTTACTCTATCTATCTATCTATCTATCTATCTATCTATCTATCTATCTATCTATCATCTATCTCATCTATGTATCATCCATCTATCTATCTCATCTCTCTATTTATCTATCTATCTACCCATCTATCTATCTGCCACATTTCTTCTATCAGATTTTTTTGCTGCTATCTTGTGATTTGTCTAGATTTTTTGTAAGCCAGATCTGATAAGTCTACATTGATTCCATTGCACAAGCAGACATTCCTTCTATTTGTGCACAGTAGTCTTTTGATGGATGCAAGGACCAGTACCTGTTGGATGCCCATTTCACTAAGTGTCACAGTAGCTCCTAAGTCTTCAAGACTGTCTGCAGCTATTTTGACCATTTCTATGACTTTTGTTCTTAGATGTGGCTGTTGAGAATCACTCTCTACAGCCACCCATTCCTTAAGTTTCTGAAAGGAAAGCCAGAGATAAAACTCATGTTACCATAGCACTGTGTTACTGTTATCTATATGTTCATTATTGCAAATCAGATCAAGGGAGGAAAATATCTGAACTAAGTTTAAAATGTGGATTGTGGATCCATTTTATCTAGATACAGATTCTTGCAGGACCTGCTTCTTCCTACAACCATGTCACATTTGCCTAGCGATATATGTACCTTCTGCAATAATTCTAGTTCTCCTAGTAAATCAAACATATTATCCAGTTTTTGTCTAAAATGAAGATTTCTGCATATATACACTATAATTTGTGCATTATATATGAAATATGTATGATATGTTGTGAGCCTAATGCAATTTTGTCAAAAGCTTTGTATATTTTCTTACACAGTTTAATTAGAACATACTGTGCACTCTAGCACACCATCATGTTTTGTGCTTCTAAATATCTAAAATGTAACTAATATACATAAGTCTTGTTTTGTTGTCTTATCTCATCCTGTCTATAGGTGGGTAAAGTCTCCCTATTGAGAAGGAAAAGAGTTGAGAGACAGTATCTTGCCTACAGTTCATAGCAAAGGAGTGCCTTTCTGATTCATAGTTCTCATTATACTGTTGTAGCCATTCTGCTGCACCAGCTCTTAGAAATACATTAGGTTTCCCCAGGAAAGCTCATTAAAAATGACAGCACTTGGCAAGGCTTTACACAGGCAATCCATCTTTGTAAATTCTATTTCCTTCTAATTACTTCTAAGGGACTTGTCACCATGCAATCTGCCTTTTAAAAAAGAAGAAGAATCAGAGAGGAATAACAGCAACAATAAGAATGTCCACCCACACAATCTTCTTGTCCTGAAATTTTGTTTGGAGTGGATAATTGCATTCACTTTGCATTGTGAGATAACTTTTCTCTTGGTTTTGCAGAAATGCCCATCAGCACAATGAATAATACAACTGCCATTATCTTATTTTGGAGGGCCAAAATCAATGTAGCAAGTTAGTTCTTGATTCTTTATTCTCAACTCTGAAATGCTTTATTGTCTGCCAAGAGCTTGGGAAGAACCTAATATTAGTAACAAAAGATGTGTTAAGGATTCTGAGCAAAACCTGGTTCCTCTCTCAATTTTCCCTGCTTGGGTTCTGATATTTTGGACTGGCTCTTCTACTGTTGGGGAGGCATTCAGTTCTGAGCCATAACTTAGAAATTGATTGACTGGGAATCAATATACTGAGCTCCCATTCAGACAAAAGGGGTTAGTTTCTCTGAGTAATCATGATAGTCTTTTTCTGAATAGTGGGCAGAACTTAGTGTTTGTTTCCTCTTTGAGAGCAGACATCATGATATCCTTGGAGTAAGAGCAGTTAAAAGTTTACAGCCCAGTCTATTTGTTTTGCATCTAGGAAGTGCTGGGGAAGTTTCCTTTAATGTTTCAATGTGGGAGGGTAGTTTTTCTTTTCAGAGGTTTAACTGTATCCTTTGCAAAGCTTAAAATGTTCATTTTACCTCTTAACAATCTCCTCCTCTCTTCAGATTCTTTTACTCTAGTGGGTTGTCGGGACAATAAATGGCTCACTGGCTGCAAATTGCCCATTCGTGATCAAAATAATTGAATTGACAATTGTGATATGCCACTCAACCCAACTTGGTCAATAAAGGCACAAATTGCCTCAGTGCCTACAGCATGTTTTCTAATCTGCTTCTAAACGTTTGCTTGAACAGCTTTTTATACTCATTTGGAATTGTTAATCATAACTTATTTATTGATGGGTTGTTTTTGAAAGACCTTAAATGTCAAGTCTTCAAAAGAGTCAGTTTTGGCACTGTTATTGATTGCCATTACTCTGCTTTCCCACCACCGATATAGCTTAAAATGCAGGTTTTAAAGTACCCTCTTCCATATTTATTGACCTAAGGCCTAGATTGTACAAAGAGGCAAGGGAAGTGCCCACAAGAGGTGATTTTTCAATGTGGCATTCAACTTTGCAATGCCCTTTGTAGAGAAACTCTTGTAGACCCTTTTGAGCAATGTTCTTAAGGTCAGGCAATGATCTTTTGATTCTCCAGGGTATTGTAATGGTTTTACATTGCCACCCTGTTTAATGCTGCTCCTGGATTTACTCTGATTTTGTTTGTTGTTTTTATCTTTGCTTCTAGTTTTCTCTTGAGTTTTATTATGTGTTGTTCTTAAAGGTAAAGGTTCCCCTCGCACATACAGTATGTGCTAGTCGTTCCCGACTCTAGGGACAGTGCTCATCTCCGGTACAAAGCCAAAGAGCCAGCACTGTCTTAAGACGTCCATGGTCATGTGGCCGGCATGACTAAATGCTGAAGGCATACGGAACGCTGTTGCCTTCCCACCAAAGGTGGTCCCTATTTTTCTACTTGCATTTTTACATACTTTCAAACTGCTAGGTTGGCAGAAGCTGGGACAAGTAATGGGAGCTCCACCCCATTACCTGGCACTAGGGATTCGAACTGCCAATCTTTCAATCGAGAAGCTAAGCATCTTAGCCACTGAGCCATGTATCAAATTCCTATGCATGTTTCAAAGTCTTCAAATGGCAGCTGTGCATTTAATCAAAGATGGAATTTTCTACAGCTTAGTGACTAACTATGAACCCACAAAAGAAGTACACAATATTCTTCCTTGAAGAACTCTTGAAATCTCTATTTTTGACAGGAACCAGAATCTTTTTACACTGGGACTCTTTTTTCTTTTCTTTTTTTG